AGACTGGGAAGAGCAGATGTCAGTTAGGTTTTAGGGTGGGGAGGGGATGTGGCACGGAGGACTTTTGAGAGCGAAGCAAGCCTAGGGTTTAGGGCTTAGCAAGTAAAAGATTGAAGTTGCTGCTGTCGCTAAACCCTAAATTTTCTATGGAGTCAACACCGTTGGTGTCGCTAAACCTTGAAATTCCCATGGTGTCAACACCGTTGCTTGCTTATTTTAAGTAAAGCAAGTGAAAGACTGAAGCTGTTGCTATCACTAAACCTTAAAATTCCTATGGTGTCAATACCGTTCCCAGCTTGTTTTACGTAAAGCAGCTGAAAGATTGCAGTTGCTGCTGTCGCTAAACCCTAAATTCCTTATGGTGTCAATACCGTTGCTTGCTTGTTTTAAGTAAAGCAGCTGAAAGATCGCAGATGCTGAGTCGTTGAACTCTAGAAAAGTTGTTAAAGCAGCTGAAAGATCGCAGATGCTGAGTCGTTGAACTCTAGAAAAGTTGTGACCTCTTAAAACACGCCAAACCTTAAAAAATTGTTTCTGGCGGCAAGCTTCTCAAGAGAGCTGGTTCAGCAATAAAGCCTCGCCCGAACCAGCTGAAGCTGCGGTCACGCCATCGCTTTACGATAGCAATCATGCCTTTTTTAACTGCCCAGTTGAAGGCCAGCACGAGAATGTTGTTGTTCGGCCTGCCTCGACAGCATTCTGTCCGCAAGTGTATCCGCATCATGCGTGTACATTGCTTCCATTGCAACCTCAAGATTTCTATGGTGTCAACACCGTTGCTGGCTTGTTCTTTTGTCTGCAAAGAAAAGCCTTAAATAAAATGCTGTAGGTGGGTTGCTGTCGTTAAACCCTAAAATTCGTATGATGTCAACACCGTTGCTTGCTTGTTTTAAGTACAGCAAGGAAAAAATCAGAGTTGCTACCGTCGCTAAACCCTAAAATTCTCATGGTGTCAACACCGTTGCCTGCTTGTTTTAAGTAAAGCAAGCCAAAGATTGAAGTTGCTGCTGTGAACGAGGCCACAACAAATGCAGGACAAGGACGCATGCTTGCGGTGGTCAAACGGCAACGTCACTGGCCAGTGGCTGAACGGTCATCGCAAAGAAACTTGATGTAACAGCTCTGCTAGCTGTCGTAAAGCGATGGCGTGACCGCAGCCTCAGCTGCTGTGGGTAGTGCTGTGGGTTGCTGTCGTTAAACCCTAAAATTCCTATGATGTCAACACCGTTGTCTGCTTGTTTTACTCACAGGAAGTCAAAAATTGAAGTTGCTACCGTCGCTAAACCCTAAAATTCTTATGGTGTCAACACCGTTGCCTGCTTGTTTTAAGTAAAGCAAGCAAAAGATTGAAGTTGCTGCTGTGAACGAGGCCACAACAAATGCAGGACAAGGACACATGCTTGCGGTCGTCAAACGGCAACGTCACTGGCCAGTGGCTGAACGGTCATCGCAAAGAAACTTGATGTAACAGCTCTGTTAGCTGTCGTAAAGCGATGGCGTGACCGCAGCCTCAGCTGCTGTGGGTAGTGCTTGTTTCTTATAAGACCTTTCATCATCTTGAAGCTGTCGCTAAAACCTAAATTTTCTATGGTGTCAACATCATTGCTTGCTAAGCAAGTAAAGAATTGAAATTGCTGCTGTCGCTAAACCTTAAAATTCCCATGGTGTCAACACCGTTGCTTGCTCGTTTTAAGTAAAGCAAGTAAAAAAGTCGAAGTTGCTGCTGTCGCTAAACCCTAAAATTATTACGGTGTCAACACCGTTGCCTGCTTGTTTTAAGTAAAGCAAGTAAAAAAATTAAGTGGCTACTGTCGCTAAACCTTAAAATTCCTGTGGTGTCAACACCGTTGTTTGCTTGTTTTAAGTAAATCAATTCAAAAAATCTTTTGCGGTGGCTTCTGCTATGTGAACGAGGACACATAAAATGAAGGGAAAAGACCTATGATTGCTCCTGTCGGACGCCAAGGTCACTGGCCAGTTGCTGAACGGTCATCGCAGAGAAACTTGATGTACCAGCTCTGCTAGCTGTCGTAAAGCGATGGCGTGACCGCAGCCTCAGCTGCTGTGGGTTGTGGGCCGCTGTCGTTAAACCCTAAAATTCCTATGATGTCAACACCGTTGTCTGCTTGTTTTAATTACAGTAAGTAAAAAATTGAAGTTGCTACCGTCGCTAAACCCTAAAATTCTTATGGTGTCAACACCGTTGCCTGCTTGTTTTAAGTAAAGCAAGCAAAAGATTGAAGTTGCTGCTGTGAACGAGGCCACAACAAATGCAGGACAAGGACACATGCTTGCGGTCGTCAAACGGCAACGTCACTGGCCAGTGGCTGAACAGTCATCGCAAAGAAACTTGATGTAACAGCTCTGCTAGCTGTCGTAAAGCGATGGCGTGACCGCAGCCTCAGCTGCTGTGGGTGGTGCTTGTTTCTTATAAGACCTTTCATCATCTTAAAGCTGTCGCTAAAACCTAAATTTTCTATGGTGTCAACATCGTTGCTTGCTAAGCAGGTAAAGAATTGAAATTGCTGCTGTCGCTAAACCTTAAAATTCCCATGGTGTCAACACCGTTGCTTGCTCGTTTTAAGTAAAGCAAGTAAAAAAGTCGAAGTTGCTGCTGTCGCTAAACCCTAAAATTCTTACGGTGTCAACACCGTTGCTTGCTTGTTTAAGTAAAGCAAGTAAAAAAAATAAAGTGGGTACTGTCGCTAAACCTTAAAATTCCTGTGGCGTCAACACCGTTGTTTGCTTGTTTTAAGTAAATCAATTCAAAAAATGTTTTGCGGTGGCTTCTGCTATGTGAACGAGGACACATGAAATGAAGGGAAAAGAGCTAGGATTGCTCCTGTCGGACGCCAACGTCACTGGCCAGTTGCTGAACGGTCATCGCAGAGAAACTTGATGTACCGGCTCTGCTAGCTGTCGTAAAGCGATGGCGTGACCGCAGCCTCAGCTGCTGTGGGTGGTGCTTGTTTCTTATAAGACCTTTCATCATCTTAAAGCTGTCGCTAAAACCTAAATTTTCTATGGTGTCAACATCGTTGCTTGCTAAGCAGGTAAAGAATTGAAATTGCTGCTGTCGCTAAACCTTAAAATTCCCATGGTGTCAACACCGTTGCTTGCTCGTTTTAAGTAAAGCAAGTAAAAAGGTCGAAGTTGCTGCTGTCGCTAAACCCTAAAATTCTTACGGTGTCAACACCGTTGCTTGCTTGTTTTAAGTAAAGCAAGTAAAAAAATTAAGTGGGTACTGTCGCTAAACCTTAAAATTCCTGTGGCGTCAACACCGTTGTTTGCTTGTTTTAAGTAAATCAATTCAAAAAATCTTTTGCGGTGGCTTCTGCTATGTGAACGAGGACACATGAAATGAAGGGAAAAGAGCTAGGATTGCTCCTGTCGGACGCCAAGGTCACTGGCCAGTGGCTGAACGGTCATCGCAAAGAAACTTGATGTAACAGCTCTGCTAGCTGTCGTAAAGCGATGGCGTGACCGCAGCCTCAGCTGCTGTGGGTAGTGCTTGCTTCTTATAAGACCTTTCATGATCTTAACGGTAGCCTACGGTCTACCGGTGTCCTCTAACGCGCGCGCCAGTGCGCGCGCGCGCGCGTTGTTGGAGACCGAGACTCTCGGGAGCGAAGCGCCTCTCAGGCCTGGAGGCTCTCCGGCTTCAGGTCCTGTGGAGGTAGCCACGTTACGTCCTCGCCCTAGGCTTCCTTTAAAGAGTCGCCACGAGGACTGCACTCTAAAAGGCTTTTTGTTTGATTTTTACATATAAATAACACAGTTCCAGCGAAGTGCGCTTTCGAACAGCATTGGAAGCTCCAGCAAACTAAGCTCTGTGAAGCTGTCTCTAAGCTTCCTCTATATGGTTTTGCACGCTCTAAACCACTAACTCCTTCTTGAAGCTTTGAAAGCTTGTTATCTTGCTGAAATAGCTTAAAAATCAGCGAAAACCTGGAAAAACAAAGAAAACTCCAGACTACGCTTACTTTTGAACGATATCTCTAGCATTTTTAGACAGGGTTTGATGCCGTCTATACCACTGAACAGCGTCGCAAGCCAGATGCTGGAGCCTTACGGCGAAGGCGCATTGGACACGTTATCCCTAGAGCAAATTTGGCAAGGAACGGTTAAAGGCAACAAACGGACGGCCTATCACAGCCATTTGGCTTCTGATCAAAGCTCCGACGGCTGGCATGTTGGAGCCGGCATTTCCATGACCTCTGCGGCCTTGCTTGCCGCAATCAAGAACTTCAAAGGCGAAGACATGAAGAACTTGATTCGGCCCGACCTCTATGAAAAGGTGCTCGAAGAGGTGACGATGTTGGAGCCTGTTCTACTGGCCCTCAACTTCGGCAGAGGCTCCGCTGCTACCCGCGACACTGGGTCATTCCGAGAAGCTAAAAAGGCCAAGCTCACGGTTTCCGGCAACGTCACCGAGAATTCCGGCAACATGGATCCTTTGAAAGCTGCGGGCGACTTCAGAACCTGGCTGGTCAAGGAAAGGTCACCGTTTCGAAGCCTGCTGTTCATCCTCTCGGGCAACAACTCTTACTACAGCGGGCACACCGCCGAGCTTGTGGCTCGAGCAGCGGTCAAGGTGAAGCCGATGACCGAGCAAGATTTCATTGAGGCAGTGAAAGCCCGAATGACTAAACCGGATCAGACTCAGGGCAGCAAGGCAGCGTCCTCAGATGGTACTGGCCTCTTCAATGCCTGAGCGGCTTTCGGGTGATCGCGACAGCGCGAGTTGCATAGTTCCAGACACTAGGTCCTAGGCAACGTTTTTGAGTGACTACAGAGATGCTTATGTTGAGTCGAGTCCAAGATGTGCGTAAGTCACGTCGAGAGGCGGTGGTTTTCGATTGGCAATCAGCGAGCAGAATTTCAAAGAGTTAGCCCCTTGTTGCTCGATGCATGTCCATGCAGCATTGTTAGAAAACATATGTATGCGGCAGACTTTTCTGTGCTACAAGCAACCATTGCTCTTGACCTCGGTAATTGCTATGGCCTTCGACATGAAGTTGATCAATGTCGGGAACAGCTGCTTCATCAACGCCGGGCTGCAGGCGGTTCTTGCTCTTCCTGGGTTCGACTCGTTGCGACCGACGACGGCAACAGAAAGAGCTTTGTTGGAGGTGTGGTCCTCGGCATTGGCGTTGGTGGGTGCGAGCACTCCGCAAGCCGTCAATGATTTGTACTACCAGGGGCGCCAGGAAGATTGCATGGAGTTCCTGGGCGAGCTGGTCGCGGACTGTCCGACGGTTCACGCGAAACTTCAAGGCAGGGAACGAGGTCATCTCGGGTGTGCATTCTGCGATTATCGTCGGCCTCTTCCGGCGGAGAACTTCCTGACGCTGCAGCTCGCTCTTTTGGATGATGATCGGCGACTTTGTTCGGTGCAGGCAGCGGTGGATTCCTATCTTGCCCAGAACATCTTGCAGGAGGACATCGTTCATTGGGAGTGTGAGAATCCGACTTGCATCGAAGCCGGAACAGCTCGTCATGCCCCTCGTCGCTCTAGCCAGGTGGAAGCATGGCCCGAGAACTTGATCATCCAGCTGAAGAGATGGGACGTGCTGCATGGACTTCTCAACCACGAGGTGTTCGTGGACAAAGAGCTTCGAGTAAAGGAAGATGTCCGGTATAGACTTCGTGCAGTTGTTTGTCATCTAGGAGAAACAGCATCCAGCGGTCACTATGTCACTTATCGACCTAACGAGAGGAACTTTGTCAGGTTGGACGATGCACGAGTTTCCGAAATCGATCACAACCCGGGTCAGATGCCTACGAGTGCAACAGAAAAGACTTACATCGTTTGCTACGCTCGCCTGGAGGGTGTGCTTCCTGTTCCTGTGCTGCCGATGAAGCGACCTGCCATTGACTTGGATCCGTCCGAGGACTCTGATGACAGTGATGTTGTCGTGGTCGGGACCGCGCCTGGACGGAAATCGGGCGGCAATCCGGGCGCAGGTATGCAGGGAGACAGTCGGCTTCTTGAGCAAGCGCCATCGCAAGCGCCAGCCAAGCGAGTCCGCACGGAACCAGGCTCGAAGGTTGGGTCGCAGCATGGTGAGCCGCAGCATGGTGGCAAGGCAATCTCCGGCAACATCGGCAACTACACGGAAGAAGACCGGAACATCATCCTAGAAGCCTTGCGGACGAGTGAAACTTTCGCGGTGGCTTTAGCTTCTATCCGGCGGCAAATTCCACATTTTACGCTAACTCGACGTGGTTCCGAGTACCGACTTCATCGAAACACTCTTTTGAATTGGTTTCGGCGGCCGGAATTGGCGGCAATCCGAGTAGCCCAATCGCAAGCCTCCGTATCTGCCGACACATGTGGCTTCGGGCGACGTCCATCTTGGAACACTGCTCTCGGAAAGCTTCCGACACAGCAGCGCAACGCCGTGGTCGAAGCTCTCACATCTGGTTCGACCGCGACGGTGTTGGCGGCTTTGACAGAGGAAGCTGCTGGGCCCGCACCGTCGACGGTGCCTGAGAGCACGCTTCGTCGTTGGCTTGGCCGCGTTCCGTTGCCTCCTCAAAAAACTTCCGAAGCTGAACCAGATTCTCAAGCGGATCGGTCCTCAAGGAACAGGTTGCACGAGACTTGGGCAGAGGAGTACAGCTTGAATTTTGGAGTACGCTTGCCGGTACTTGACATGAAGCAAACAAGCGTGGACAAGAGAGATTCGAACGCTTTGTGGCTTGTGGAAGGCTCCTGGACTTTTTGTCCGGATTGTGGTCGCAGACGTGCTCGAGGGAAGACCCGAAGAACATCGCTTGCAGATCTGCATCCGGTGGAGTATTGTCGACCTTGCTGTGATGTGGCTGCAGTTGATCTGCTTTCGCCCGCTCCAGCAACTACTCTCGACACAAGAGCGCTGGTCTACACGACGCCTCAACGAAGCACTTGGCACAGCTGGTCTGCTGCCATTGCCTCCGGTGAGCTACCTTTGACGGCGGTGCTGTGTGAGCCGGACTTGAACAATCTAGCTGTCTTGACTATCCATGTGGATTACCGAACTCGCAGAGGCGGCAAAGCGGAAGTCACCAGCAAGCAGAAGAGATCTTTGACACGTTGCCGCTGGCAGCGTCGGCCTCTTCGAGAGCTACTTCGAAGTGATCTTGCTTCGAGAGCCTTTACGTGGCTTCTACAGAACAACGAGACCTACCGAGCTTGGGTGGATCGCCACTCGGCGCTATTCGAGACGACCGGCGACTTGCAAGAATCGGAGCTTCAGACGGCGCAGCTTCTTTTGCGGTCTCCTGGCATCGAGGTTGCAACTCGGCCATGGCTATATCCTTTAGCCAGTCTTGCAGACACAGACTACCAAGAGAGACTGCTGCCGTTGGGATGGACAACTACTCGCAGCAGACCTAGCATTCGTGCCGGCTTCATGCGCAAGCTCCAGAGTCGGTGTGTCGACTACGCAGCTGACTATCCGCTCCAGTGTCTTCTCTACGACACGGTTATGGCCAAGACCATTAGCAGTGTGCAGGCTGTCGCGGATAAACAGAAAGTCTCGCCCGAGCAAATTGCATCCGACATGGATGGATTTGACGTTTATTGGCAACAGCAGCTCCGGAAGATGGAGGACATCTGCCGCCAAGAGCACGAAAAGCACGGCAGCATGGAGAAGGCACTGCCTTCGGTCTTTTTCACCGTAGCTCCTGCCGAGTGGCGGTTTCTTCTTCACAATGGTGTCTTTCATGAAGGGCCTCTCACGGACCAGCAGTTGCAACTCACGCTCCACTTCTACCACAGTCTGCAGACCTTGTTGGAGCAGCACATCCTCAAGAATGGCGAGAGCTTGCACCGCGTAGGAATTGCGAAGGTGAGGCAGTGGTCCTTCCGGTTCGAGTTCCAGTCCCGAGGAACACTTCACCTACATGCTGTGCTGTGGGCTGACTTGCTTCCGGGATGGCAGGCTCGGGACGTGACCGGCAGAAGCGACACTCTTGTCAAGTCTGCCTTCGTCGAGTTGCTTGAGAATTTGTTCCGGAGTCGCGTAGATGTCCAGTGCGGAGATGGTACACACAATCTCTTGAGGTACGTGGCGGGCTATGTGTCGAAGGCTTCCGATGCTCTCAGCTTCTCGCAGCGGCAGGCAAAGAAGGATGGCAGTGCCGAGGAGATGAGCAAGTGGAGACAAACCTACCGTCGCCTTTGCAAACGATCTCCGATGGAACAGGAGATCCTGATGGAATTTGCTGGTCTGGCCATGGTTCGGCACTCCTTTTCCGGTCACACGCTTTTCGCGCCCATACCTGGGAGCCAAGCTCGGAATTCGTCTCGGGATCAGTACCTAGTCTACCAAGCGTGCTTGAAACGACCACGTGATGAACTTGGTTCCGCTCGAGGATTGAGTTTCTTGCAATGGCTGCGACACTTCCGCGTGGTAGACGTTGAGAAGCAGATAGTCGCCAAAAGAAACGCTGCCGGGCCAGCAAGAGATCACGATTGCGGGGTCGCCATCACCTTTCCATTCGAGCTCTTGGATATTTTCATTGGTGCCTGGGCAGCGACTTTTCTTCCGAACATGGAAGAATTCCGGCTGTTTCCGGAGACAGATGAAGACGCAAGGAACTATCCGGCAAGTCTCGCTGCAGAGAGATCTCGTCGCTCCTCTTTTGTCGCCCCCGAAGGGTGCAAGCACTTGAAGGCTGTTTTGTGTCTGGACGAGTTTCAACTCTATCGCAGAGACTCGCTGGTGTTCCATCCGAATGTTGGAGAACTTCTGTCAAGAGTGGAAACGGACCTCACTCTGAGAGGACTCACGGCAGACCGCATTGCCACTTTCAAAGCCAGGATTCATGCATGTGCTCTTTTACTCTGTGCCTTCCGAGATGGACGCGAAGATCCAGGATTGTGGCGAGCCCGTGCGGTACCCGATCCTCCTAGCCGCATTTGGTCGCCGGAGCAACAGCAGGTGTTGGAGCACGTGAAGCGAGGAACCAGCATTAGCGATGCCGCTGAAATGACCCAGGCATGCCGAGTGTTGCAGGTCGCCGGCGGGCCAGGCACGGGCAAGACGGAGGTCATCATTGCGGCGGTGCGCCAAGCCCTGCAAGACGGCTGTCGCGTCTTGATCGCAGGTCCAATCGGTCTCCTGGTGTCCATGTACAGATTGCGCTTGCCCAACCTCCACAATTTGACCATGGAGACGGTGCATTCCGCTTTTCGAATTACCAGAGATGCCGATGCAGCTTACATTCCGCCAGGCCGACTTCGTCAGTACGACCTCATTGTTATTGACGAGGTCAGTCAGATTGAAGCGGCCGTGTGGAGGAAACTGCAGACTGGCCTTGGAGAGTTGACGCCATGTCCATTTCTGGTGTTCGTAGGAGACTTCCAACAGCTTCAGCCGCTGCAAGGAGGACCTGCTCTGCAAACTGATCTGGATCGAGAGCGAGCCGAAGGTCACATCCTGTATGTGAAGCTCGAGCAACATGAAGCGGCTCGCTCGGTGGACCCGACCATGCTCGCTTTCCTGGAGGCGGCAAGAGTGCAACAGCCATCCCGAGAAGAACTGACGGCTTTCTTTGCAGGCAGACTCTGGTCTACAAATCTTCAAGCGGCAGCTTCGCGTGCACTTGCCGTGGAAGCCGAGACTGGGTCTAACTTCACGTTCTTGTCAGTGACTAATCGCGGAGCCGCAGCCCTGAACCTTGCACGGCTCGGTCTTGAGTTTCCGGAGGCGGCAGCGACACTTCGGTCCGGCGGAGGAATTCCGGCGGAAAATGACCAGGTCGTGGTGGCTCCGGGTATGAGGTTGCGCCTCACACAGAACGTAGATAAAGAGAGAGGCTTTGTGAACGGGAACGCAGGCAAAGTTCGATGTCTTCTTCGTGCCGACGTGTTCGTGCTTGACTCGGACCAGGGCCTGCCAATTTTGATCCATCCCATTTCACAACAGGGGCGCAAGTTTCTGCCGGTCGCGTACGGTTGGGCTACGACCATGAGGCGTGCCCAAGGGGCCACTCTTCAGAAGGTCGGGTTATGGTTCGACCGCCGACTTCCCGACAGAGGCTATGCTTACGTCGGGTTGTCGAGAGCGAAGAAGTGCCAGGACGTGTTTCTGCTAGACAAAATCCGTCGCACTGATTGGAGACCCGTGGGTGGAGACAGCAATCCCGAAGAACAGAACAAGCTCTCGGTTTTCAGTGAAAGCACGCACAGCAGTGACGTGGACTATGGCTGTTCAGAGTCCGAGGAGGACGAGCCCAGTCTGGATAGCGAATCCACGGAGGTGTCTATGAGTCCCGAAGCGAGCTACTCGTTGGAGATTTCTCCGGAGCAGTCCAATTCCCGACGAAGCGAATCGACCGAGGACAGCAGAGATTGAGGGTAAGGTTGCAGTTTCACGATCTAGATATCCTTGTCTTGTACAGTTCGATGATAGCATCGCAATGACAAGCCGCAGTGGATGCAGAAGATATCTGTTAACTTCTGCTGCTGAAGGATGGACCTTGGACCAGAATATGTGTATATATAGCCACATCGCTGAAGGGTGTTTGTTCTTCGTGATGTCAGAGTATGCTTCGTGTGTTGTTGTATTGGTCCACAGTTGCCGAACATTAGACACAGAAGCTGTCTGATTCTTTTGCAGTTGCTTCGAGCAAAACTATAGGGCGTATTCTGATGCCGTGCGCTCGAGAGTATTTACGATGCCGTGCGAGTAACCTGGATGCAGGTCAATCATGTACACGATGATCGTCGCGCCGAGGCAGGGCATGGTGGCGGCTGTCGGCATGATGTCTTTGTTGCTTTGGTATTTTCAATGAACATGTGCCAGGTTCCTTAAGCTAGGACTTGGCTTTCCTGGGACTGCTTGGTGTTCCCCAACAAGCGATGCTCATGCTCTTTGCTTTCCTGGGACTGCTTGGTGTGACTACCCCCCAATAAGCGATGCTCATGCTCTTGGCTTTCCTGGGAGTGCTTGGTGTGACTACCCCCCAATAAGCGATGCTCATGCTCTGCTTTCCTGGCACTGCTTGGTGTGACTACCCCCCAATAAGCGATGCTCATGCTCTTGGCTTTCCTGGGAATGGTTGGTGTGACTACCCCCCAATAAGTGATGCTCATATGATGTCTTTGTTGCTTTGGTATTTTCAATGAACATGTGCCAGGTTCCTTAAGCTAGGAAGAAGTTGTGCCCATTGTTGATAAACAACACCTGAACAAGACGAGGATAGCAAGGAATATAAAGACTCATTAATTAACGAAGTTTCCCGCAGCATGGTTTGATGCTTTTTTTTGTTTTTGTAGTACCTTGCGGCCATGTGTGCTATGATTCTATAAGCTAGAAAGAAGTTGTGTCCATTGTTAACAAAAAAAACATCTGCACAAAGGCGAGATAGTATGCAAAATAAAAAGTATTATTAAAAGAAGTTCCTAAGAAGAATCGTGTTCTATTCGAATATAAAATAAAGATTGTTATTTCGTAATGTGAGGGGAACCTATGGGCGGGTGGGGTTTTGACTTAGAATAGCTTGACTTGAAAATTCCAAAGTCAGAGAAGCTGAACCCTAAACCCTAAACCCTAAACCCTAAACCCTAAACCCTAAACCCTAAACCCTAAACCCTAAACCCTAAACCCTAAACCCTAAACCCTAAACCCTAAACCCTAAACCCTAAACCCTAAACCCTAAACAAACCCTAAACCCTAAACCCTAAACCCTAAACTCAGGGGGGGCAGGCCGGTGGGCCCTGACGGCCCACCGCTGCCACCTCCCCTGCCTTTTCGGCGTTTGAAGGCATCGCCACATGCAATATGCCTAAACAGCGCCTCTACTGTCCCACCAAGGTGTATGCCGTGCCACCGCTAAGCATTGGGATGTCGGCAGTACTGCCCTATAATATACTTTATACCCTAAACCCTGTGCCCCCCTCAAAAACCTTACTCAAAATCCTAAAGCTTTAGTGTTTAGGAATAGCGTTTAGGGCCTAAATCCTAAAGCTTTAGTGTTTAGGAATTTTTGGCAATGTAAAGCTTTAGTGTTTAGGAATAGGGTTTAGCGCTAAATCCTAAAGCTTTAGTGTTTAGGAATAGGGTTTAGCGCTAAATCCTAAAGCTTTAGTGTTTAGGAATAGGGTTTAGCGCTAAATCCTAAAGCTTTAGTGTTTAGGAATAGGGTTTAGCGCTAAATCCTAAAGCTTTAGTGTTTAGGAATAGGGTTTAGCGCTAAATCCTAAAGCTTTAGTGTTTAGGAATAGGGTTTAGCGCTAAATCCTAAAGCTTTAGTGTTTAGGGAATAGGGTTTAGCGCTAAATCCTAAAGCTTTAGTGTTTAGGAATTTAGCGAGCTTTATAGGGTTTAGCGCTAAATCCTAAAACTTTAGTGTTTAGGAATAGGGTTTGGCGGCTGATTTCTGGAAAATCGGAGGCAGATTTTGGAGTGATAAATTCTGTTCATAAAATGTGCATTTTAATTAGGGCAGGGGCCGATCTTGGGGTTCCGCCCATTCTGGTGCCTAAATCCTAAAGAATTGCGCTAAATCCTAAAGCTTTAGTGTTTAGGAATAGGGTTTAGCGCTAAATCCTAAAGCTTTAGTGTTTAGGAATAGGGTTTAGCGCTAAATCCTAAAGCTTTAGTGTTTAGGAATAGGGTTTAGCGCTAAATCCTAAAGCTTTAGTGTTTAGGAATAGGGTTTAGCGCTAAATCCTAAAGCTTTAGTGTTTAGGAATAGGGTTTAGCGCTAAATCCTAAAGCTTTAGTGTTTAGGAATAGGGTTTAGCGCTAAATCCTAAAGCTTTAGTGTTTAGGAATAGGGTTTAGCGCTAAATCCTAAAGCTTTAGTGTTTAGGAATAGGGTTTAGCGCTAAATCCTAAAGCTTTAGTGTTTAGGAATAGGGTTTAGCGCTAAATCCTAAAGCTTTAGTGTTTAGGAATAGGGTTTAGCGCTAAATCCTAAAGCTTTAGTGTTTAGGAATAGGGTTTAGCGCTAAATCCTAAAGCTTTAGTGTTTAGGAATAGGGTTTTAGCGCTAAATCCTAAAAGCTTTAGTGTTTAGGAATAGGGTTTAGCGCTAAATCCTAAAGCTTTAGTGTTTAGGAATAGGGTTCGGTGGCTGATTTCTGGAAAATCGGAGGCAGATTTTGGAGTGATAAAGTTTTTTCATAAAATGTGCATTTTAATTAGGGCAGGGGCCGATCTTGGGGTTCCGCCCATTCTGGTACCTAAATCCTAAAGAATTGCGCTAAATCCTAAAGCTTTAGTGTTTAGGAATAGGGTTTAGCGCTAAATCCTAAAGCTTTAGTGTTTAGGAATAGGGTTTAGCGCTAAATCCTAAAGCTTTAGTGTTTAGGAATAGGGTTTAGCGCTAAATCCTAAAGCTTTAGTGTTTAGGAATAGGGTTTAGCGCTAAATCCTAAAGCTTTAGTGTTTAGGAATAGGGTTTGGTGGCTGATTCTGGGAAATCGGAGGCAGATTTTGGAGTGATAAATTCTGTTCATAAAATGTGCATTTTAATTAGGGCAGGGGCCGATCTTGGGGTTCCGCCCATTCTGGTGTAAATCCTAAAGAATTGCGCTAAATCCTAAAGCTTTAGTGTTTAGGAATAGGGTTTAGCGCTAAATCCTAAAGCTTTAGTGTTTAGGAATAGGGTTTAGCGCTAAATCCTAAAGCTTTAGTGTTTAGGAATAGGGTTTAGCGCTAAATCCTAAAGCTTTAGTGTTTAGGAATAGGGTTTAGCGCTAAATCCTAAAGCTAGGAATAGGGTTTAGCGCTAAATCCTAAAGCTTTAGTGTTTAGGAATAGGGTTTAGCGCTAAATCCGCTTTAGTGTTTAGGAATAGGGTTTAGCGCTAAATCCTAAAGCTTTAGTGTTTAGGAATAGGGTTAGCGCTAAATAGGGTTTAGCGCTAAATCCTTTAGTGTTTAGGAATAGGGTAGCGCTAAATCCTAAAGCTTTAGTGTTTAGGAATAGGGTTTAGCGCTAAATCCTAAAGCTTTAGTGTTTAGGAATAGTGTTTAGCGCTAAATCCTAAAGCTTTAGTGTTTAGGAATAGGTTTTAGCGCTAAATCCTAAAGCTTTAGTGTTTAGGAATAGGGTTTAGCGCTACATCCTAAAGCTTTATTGTTTAGGAATAAGGTGTAGCGCTTAATCCCAAAGGCCACACGAAGACCTCAACAATCGCCAGCACTCGACTCTCTTTTTGCGCGAATGCTCAGGGGTGTGTTTGCTGGGGCTACGGGGAATTCATCCGCTCCGTAGCCGCAAGATTGGCAGGCAGATGCGTCAACGATTCGTCTAGAACCGCAACACTTTCCGGCAGCGCTGTGTGCTGCCAGCCTAAAATGGCTTTAGAGGCGCGCAGGCAGGCAATGTCGCCTGTCTATGGACCCTATGAAACGCCAGTCACGATCGTATTGAACTCGTGAGAGGGCCACATAGAGAGCTGCGCGCACGAAAGGAACATCCATCCACAGGGTGACGTGCGGCAGAGTGGCACCCTGAATCTTATGCAGGGTGGTGCTGTAGCCCGGCCGCAGTGGAAAGGCCGTCGTTCTGCTGTTGGATCCATCCCAGAGCTGGCATTCGTGAGTCACGGGGTGAACCAAGAGAACCTTCCCGGCGTCCGTCCTCACCTGCACGCCGCTTCGCCTCATGCGCTGCACCGTTGCTCCCATTCCATTGACGAAGCCATTCTCCTTGTCCGTGTTCCTGGTGATGACCACGCGCATGCCCTGATAGACCGGCATCCAGAAAGGTTCTGCCGCCACCTGCGCTGCGCCTCGGAAATTCTCGAAGTTCTCCTGTGGATCACACGGTATGCGGTCGAGCATTTCCGCGTCCACGAAGAGGGCACGCATGGCGAGCTGGTTGAGTCGGGCGGATCCTCGACGGGTGATGGTGATGAAGGTCGTCCGGGGGGTTTCCTGCAGCATGGTGGCGATGTCCTCTGCATTGAGATCATGGCTGACTCCGGATCGACTTCGAAGATTTGCACGGTGGCCTCTCAGAATCTTCTTCAATTGTTTTCCACTGGGCAGGGTATTTCGCAGCAGCTCCAGCTTCCACTTGAGTTTCTCGCACTTACAGCGACGCATCTCGTGCAGGTACAGGACGTGCATGTCTCGCCACCTGAAGCTGTCTCTCGCCGTGGTGCCGTCCGGTCCTAAGAGCTGACAGAAGTCACCCACGAACACAAGGGCAGTCCGACGGTCGGCGGCGTCCCACAGTCGCAACAACCTTTCGAAAATCCACTCCGGCAGCTGGCCGACTTCGTCGATCACGAGCATGTCATAGATCTTCATCATGTCGGCCGTTTGGAGTTCGTCTTTGTGCAGCGCGAACATGCCATGCACGGTGTCAATGTCCAGATCCGGATGACGTGCTCTGTACCGGGTTGCCAGCATGCCTGTCGGACACGCAACTCCGACGTGAGCACCTGCTTGAACAGCTCGGTCCAATGCGATTTCCACTGCCGTGCTTTTTCCGCTGCCGGCCGGTCCGAGTACGACGGTCACACTATTCGCGGCGACGTCCTGTTCCAACCAAGTGGCCCAGCCCTCGACTTCCCGATCCTCCGGCCACTTGGTTACCATTGCATGTTGTACTCGACGACCGACGACGTTTATCACTGTCGCTTGCTCCGGTGCTACTCGAACTTCTGCATGGGCCACCCGTGCAACGCCGTCCAGCGGAGGGGCCGCCTCTCTTTCGACCGTCATGTCCCCGGAAAGGTAGGCGTCGACGAGCTCGATCCTGGCGGTCAGCATGGCGAGTGTATTTTGGATGTACAAGTCGTTTCGCGCTTCCTTTTCCAGCTCTGACCGGATCTTGACCGGATCTCGCCAGAAACGACGGCGATGCAGGACGCACAGGCCCAGGTATCGCAGATTCTCTGGTAGGAGCTCCGCCTGCGGGTGCCAGAGGTCGTCGATGTTGCGGAAGGGCACATTGAGCAGGAGCCACTGGCCGTAGTGCCGATCGTTGGTGTGAGAATACATGATGCTGGCGACGAGAGTCTGGCCGTCTGCCGGGTGAACGTTGATCCAATCTTTGAGGGGCATGTCAATCTTGTGCGCACGGTGCACGCGGCGATACTTTTGCGAGATCTGCCCGTCGGATCCCGACTTCCGCAGAAAGTCGAGGAGGCTCATGTTGTCCCGCCTCCAGGTGCTCGACATGTAGCTCTGCACGATCTGCGGCGGGTCTTTCTGCCAGGGAACCGGAACGACGAACTTGCGCACGTTCGCCGGACACACAAATTGTGGATGCTGCTGTGCCGCGAGCTGCATGATCATTTCCGGCTGGAGCGGATGGTAGTCAGCCAGAACTCGCCTTGCTAAAGAGAAATCGGTCGCCTCGTTGTTGAGCATCTCCGCCGCGAAGGAGCTACTGAACTTGGGCAGGTAGCCTGCTAGTTTCACTTTTGCGACTTCGTGGTATGTCGAATGTGCAAGTGATAGAAGTAATATGTACATTGGAAAAAGTTGATCAATTAAGCTCACGAGATACTTGCGCAGTACTTCAGCACCATGGCTCGGCCGTCCGATGCCAGCACATCTACATGACAGCGAAGAGCAGCTAGTACGTCTGGGAGGTAGGCGCGACATCTTCTTTCGAAAGCTGCTCGCGGGTGGTGGAGTCGCAGTCGCTGCTCCTTCTCGATCACTTCTGTGGGCTCTTCGCGAACGGGCCATCCGCTCGACGTGTAGTCCAGTTGTGAGCCCACCACGAGGTCGCGCATCTCCTGCTCGTCTTCCCCGGGCACATCGGCACGGATTTTGGAGGACAAGTCCATGGCTTGCATGTCCTTCAACCAGAGAAGTATGTGCACATGGACGGCTCCTCGCCCGTGGTAGAACTGACCGTGTCGAAAAACGTTGCGTTTGCGCTTCCCATCTTGAAACTCCAGCCTGGCCACCCAGTGCCGAACTTTCCCTGGTCCATTTGCGGAACAGAAGATGTGCTCTCGTTTGGACTGCAGCCCTTCGTTGGCCCCGGTGAGAAGACCTTTGACCGCCTGGGTGAGGACATGCGCCAAGTGCAGTGTCTCCGCAACGGGCATGTCGAGTCTGGCGCTCAGGGACTTCGTGAGCTCGTCTTGCAGCCACTGATGGTAGGGGAACGACCATTCGTACGGGGCGATGGTGATGAAGAGGCTGGGCCACCCTACCTGCTTCTGCAGGTCCACCAAGGCCGTGTGGTAGGTGCGCCACATCTCCGGCGAGTACGGCTTTGTCGCTAAGGCTTCGCGCACGCTGCTGGTGCCGGCGCTGTTTTTGGCACCGCCGATGGTCGTGTAGAGCCACAGGTCGTACACGAAGTGGAGGAGCTGGGAGTCTGAGCTGTAGCCGATCACCGCCGAGTGAGCTTTCGCCAGGTAGCTCGCTTTGGCACTTTGTCGCGATGCCTTGCCAGGCGCGGCTCCGAACATGTCTTGGTCTTCATCGCTGTCTTCCATATGCTGTCGACGACGGCGCTGCTGTCTTCGGGCATCTTGTGATCGCACGTAGGTCTCCGTCATCTCCGCGCACCAGTACAGATGTGGCCACAAGGCGCACTCTATGCCGACCGTCTCGATGAAGTTCGTTGGCAAGCGCTTCGCCGGGGTGCCGGACCAGATCTCTCCGCGCTCCATTGCTCTCGCCCGCTTGCCAAGGCTGCGTTGGTGAAGCTGCCAAAATCGGCCGTAGTACGAAGGGCAGTCGTCGCGCAGCAGATATTCCAGCGCTTTGTGGCCGCGCTCGCGCTGCTTCTTTGGAAGCTTAGCGAGATTGTCCTCCACTGATGATATTTTGAAGGAGAACCGCATCATGTCGTTGTGCACCAAGTAGCCGCTTGGAGGTCGAAACACGCCGCCGGTGTGGATGTCGAAGGGTCGCAAAGCTTCGACTACTTGCGACGACAAGTTGCGCAGGCGCCTTGGGATGTCCGCCGGAGTTGGGGCCCAGTACCCAGTGGACCCGCCGGACTTGCAGTACCCGCAGGCAGGCAGCTCGGAAGCTGCACTGGCTCTGCCTGTGGCATTCGTGGCACGGAACGGTTGGGGCACCATGCGCCCGCAGCCACCGCACATGCGCCAGGAGTCGTCGAAGCACCACTTCTCAAATGCCGCGGCACGAGCAGGCATCCAATGTCTCCCCTCTCGAGCACCCTCTCCGTAAACTGCTGGAAACTTGTTCTGCAAGCGGGTCATGTGCCGGTGCTGCTGGGCTTCGAAAGCGTGTCGAGCCGCGTGGGAAGCTTGCAACGCAGGCTGCCGGAATGCCAGCGAGCTCTTCCACTCACTGCGAGGCCTGGGTGCCCGTGTGCGCGGCTTTTGACCGAAGCGCTCGGCCATCTGTGCCCCATGCAGATCCCGAATGCGCTGCAGCGCTTGGTCGTAGCGTCCGTCGTTGGCCCTGGCCAACCGAGCCAGCCATCTCCTGATCTGTCGCCCTTCTGTCTCCTTCAGCGCGGATTGGAAAGCTTCCGTGGAACAGAAGACGCAGTGCTCGAAACTCACGCCATCTTTGACCCGAGTGTAAGGCTTGCCCCGAGTGCTCTGCTTGGTAAGGCCGAAGCGACATTCTGGATTGCCGCATTCCGCGCAGCTGGCCGAGGGCTGAAGATTCGCCCATGCTTGCCCGGGTTTTCTGTTATTATAAGGCACAGGCTCCTCGTAGACCTTCACATCTTCAAGTACCCAAGCATAAGTCTTGGCGTACTGCACGGCGGAGAGATCTTGGATTCCGTGAAGATGCACGTTGGCTTCGAGCTCTGCCCTTGTCAGTTTCATGCTCTTGGAGATCGTCATCTCGCCGACCAGCGTCCCTGACCCCGACTTGGCGATGCAAATCCTTTCCCCCAGATGCTTTACGCAATTCTGGCCTCTGATCTCCCAGACTTTGCTGCCGTTCAATATCTCATCGCAGCAGTGCGGTTGGATAGTTAGAGCCCAACGTGGAGTCGGTGTTGTTTCGGCGACTGTGACTTGGGCGTCGTCCACCACGCTTGGTTCCGAGGGCTGCGGTGCATCGGCCTCTCTTCCAGCATACTCGTCGAGTAAACGCTGCTGCTCGGCCAGCTCGTCGCTGCCAAAAATAGCCTCGATCTCCTGTAGACGCTGCTGGAAAACTTCCGGTCGATGGCAAGAGTCATGGTATAGACGGGCAGTGATCTCGAGCTGACCCGGATCTGCGGAGCACCTTGGCAGGAAGAGGCTGAATGCAAGCGCGACTCCATGCAGGCGGTCGCAATTGAGCTTCCGACTTGCTTGCGTAGATGTCTTCCACGCCCCTTGTTGTTTCAAGCACATCGGCTGTAGGCTGCCTAGCGCTGGCTTCTTGCTGAGTCTCGCGCCACGCAGACGTATCGGAGCCACTCTCTTCCTCCTGAGGTTACAGAAGCGCTTAGAAATGGATATGGTCAGAGCAGTCCCGCGGCCGCGGACCTCTTGCGTCTCTGACATGTGCACGTCGATCCTGACGCATCGGTCGGATCCTCTTGCGATCGGTTGCTGCGCTGGCGGGGATCGCCGCTTCTCGGGTCCAAGCACATTCTCGCGGATGTCACTGTCTTCTGGACCTTCTGTCCTGTTCATTGCGAACCAACTGCTCGTTCAGCTTTTGGTATTGTTATCTTTTCTGCACCTTTAGATTTTGAACAGACGGATGACAACCCGATCGACCTCCGAGACTTGCTTGCGCGGGTGTTTTCCACGCCCCTCATTGTTGCAAGCGTGTCTCAGGTCGGCTGCCAGGCTACCATATATGATCGTTTTCGCTGGGTCTCGCGCCATGCCAACATGTCGGAGCCAGTGTCCTCCTGTCGCTGCACCGAGAACGGACATGTTCGGCGGACTTGCCCGGCCGTCCTCGAGCATCTCTGACATGGCAACATCTGTCCTGGAAATGTTTTGACTCTGCTGGTATTCAAGGTTTGGCACGAAAGGTAAGGATCAATCGACCTCTGAGGTCCGGGCCGGTTCTCCATGCTGAGTGTGCTACAGAGGATTTCGAATTTGGATGGTAATACGTGACTTGAGCCTCCAGCAAGACGTGCTGTCGAGTGCAACGCGCCATGGCACCGGCCGGGTACTAGGGACGATTGTGGCGTGCATAGACCGACGACGCTTCTTCGCTTTTTCCGAACAGACTTGCTGGGTGCAGCAGCTGCAGTGTGCGGACTGTACCTCGGAACGCGGCGAGAAACTCGACGGGGGCATGTGCGGCGGCCCGCGCCTGCTTCTACTACCACTACTACTACCACGACGACGTCTACTATTACTTCTGCTATTATTATTATTATTACTACTACTACTACTACTACTACTACTACTACTACTACTACTACTACTGTTATACTTACTACTAACTGTTAGCTTCATTGATTGAACAAAGCTAGGTAAGTATGTTTCATTGTTTTTCCGTTTCCTACCCGTGCTACAGCAACAACAACAACAGGTGCTGTCGCTACCGGTACTGGTTGGTTTTACGGAAGCACAAAAAAACAGCAAAATTACCCAGGCCTGGTTCCCCCCGAGCCGTCAGTGCCACCTGACGGTCCCGGGGGGATTCCTAACAGTCTCGGACCTTAGTGTGGAGAGCCTCACAAAGTACAAGGTGGCGAGTACTTGCCTTCGCGGGTCCTCCTCTACCTTAAAGGAACGTGCGAAATGGAGGCACGCCTTGCCCGGTACTTTGCCGTTTGCGTGCTGCGGCGCCGTTCTGGACGCGCGGGGTCCGCGCAGCCACGTTGCGTGCATCCACTCAAAACATAGGGAAACGCCTATCGTGGCGGCAAATGCACGCCCGGCCGTGCCCGAGGGCAAGCAAAGGCAACGCCAAAAATCCGACATTTTACGGTGGACGTTTTTTTTCAGATTTGCTACGAAACATAGGCATTTCGCTATACTTTGCACAACTGTGCAATCTCCTTTGCGTGGTCGTCGACGATTCGTCCGGGGGGGGTCTGGGGGTGTCCGGGGGGTGTCCGGGGGGGGTCCGGGGGGGCCCCCCGGCCACTTGCGTACATCTTGTCCGGGGGTGTCCGGGGGCGCCCCCCGGTCCGGGGGGGTCCGGGGGGGTCCGGGGGGGTCCCGAGGATCCGGGGGGGCCCCCCGGACGGACCGTAATTAGAGTACATATAGCATATGTCAAATATGTCATATATGTATTCATAAGTCTATATTTATATATACATTACGTATGTGTACAGATACACCGATAAACATGCATATCTACCTGCGTGGATATAAAGATATACCTATATATGTATAAACACACCTATATGATATATATGTATACATATACATCTACTACTACTAGTCTACTACTACTAGTACTAGTACTGCTAACTATTATTTTCTTTGATTGAACAAAACCAAACAAGT